CCAAGAAAGTAGCATTTGTCGATACAAACACTCTGTTTACTTGAGGATCGAAGAATAGACCACCTCTCGTCTCTTTAGGGTAGCCTACGAATAGGCATACTTTTGAACGAGGTTCCAGTTTCTTTGGGTTAGTCATGAGCACATGTGTCGGGCATCCCCAAATGCGGAAGTGACGTAAACTAGCTTTACGACCCTTCCAGTTTCAAAGGGTGTTTCAGAAACACTTTTTGATGGAACTACGTTCAAGATATAAACCGTAGTCTCCACTGCATAATCCCAAAACGAGTTAGGCAACTGAGCATAGCTCATCATTGATCGAACCATGTCCAACAGGGTTCTGTTTCTCTTTCTGATACACCATTTTGTTGAGGTATACCAGGGGCTGAGAGTTGGGATGTGATTTCATGTTCTATCATATAGTCCTAGAATCTCAAGTCTATATACTCTCCACCCCGATCAGATCGAAGTGTTTTAATGGTTTTACCTAACTGATTTTCAACTTCAGTCTTGTACTCCTTGAACTTTTCAAGGGCTTCAGACTTATGTTGCATTAGGTATAAATAACCATACCATGAATAATCATCTATAAAAGAGATGAAGTATTCATACCCTCCTCGAGCTTTAACATTCATCGGACCACAAAGGTCTGAATGTATAAGTTCTAAGGGCTCTTTGGCTCGATAACCTTTTCCAGTAAAAGGTCTTTTAGTCATCTTGCCTTCAAGACAAGACTCACATGGTGGTAAAGAATCATCTTCTAACTCACTTAGAATGTCATTCTTAACCAACCTCCCAATCCTATTGAGATTAATGTGACCTAATCTTAAGTGCCAAAGATAGGTATTTTCTTTTTGAGAAACTTTTTGCCTTTTATTTTGAGTTCTAGCATTTTTAAACAACTCGGTATTTAAAACTGCTTCAATTATGGTTGGTCTTAGCACATACAAGTTGTTTTCAATCAAATCAGAACAAATATTAACACCATTTCTCGAAATGAACGCTTCATTCAATTGAAATGAAATGGAATACATATGTTCTAACAAACAAGAAACTGAAATTAAGTTCCTTTTAATTTTAGGAACCACGTACACATTATGTAACGCCCCAGGATTTTTAACATCCCAACGAGGACCATTACTAAAAGCCACCTAAAACGACCCACTCGTACTAGAGAATTTAAACCACTAGACGTATAAACTATGACCAACTCTCACCACCCTTCCGCTGCGCTACTCTGATTAATAACACTTACAAAAAAAAACTTGCACTAAACAGCCCAAACACCACTAACGTTCTAACGAAACTCAAATCCTTCACAGTTAATAATTTAATAACAAACTAACCTTATAAAACTTCTCAATGAAAACTTCACTAATCATAAACCATCCACGACACGAATCTAACTTTCACAAAAACAGCGAAGCAAAAGATAACTCAAGTTCAACTTGAACAAATGCATTATACTGATAAATATCCTCAACGTATTACATCACCACAAGTCAAGTAGCTAAATAAAATTACGGTTCTCAAGAAAACGAGCTATCAATCCTAGGACATCCCCTAAATATAGGACTTCACAAAACACTTTATTAATCTAAGAACAGACTTACGCCAAAGACAAACAACTATAGCTATCCTATTCCACTTGAAACTTATCGACGTAGAGTTAAATGGTCTCTCTAATCAAGTCCCCTCCTCGCCATCACCATCCCAAGAGCCAGCTCGATACCTGCAAACTGGAGGGGAAAAAGAGGGATGAGTACAACCACAGTACTCAGTAAGCAGCCCTTATCTGAAGGGTCATGCACAAACAGCATGCTTATCAAGGAAACAACGTGTCATGCTTATCAAAGAATCAACATATCATGCTTATCATAACTCTCAAGCTTTGAATGAATAGAAACATATCACAAGAAGCAGTTTATGCAAATGTTTAACTAAACATGTACCGTACATGTCAAACTCAACCTTACATATTAACACACTAGTTCTCTTTCTTGATTCCTCCAAGGCTTACTCCTTCGAGTCGTACCGACCCCTGACCTCGCGTAGCTAAGGCATCGACACTTCTCTACGATGCTCGGTGTTGGACCTTGACATTTATCCCTAATGCTTCAGCTACTACTCAATGTATTGATCCTTGGCCTCCAAGCAAATCCTAACCAATCACACAATGTTAGTCCTCCAAGTCTAACTCCTCGAATCGCATCGACCCTTGCCATTTATCCCCAAAGCCCGACACTCTTTTACAGAGGCTTGGCGTTCGACCTTGCCATTTATCCCCAAGGCCTTGAACTGTGCATCGACCCTTGACATTTATCCCCAAGGTATCGACGACTACTCAACGTATTGGTACATGGCCTTCAAGCAAGTTCTAACCAATCACATTATGTTAGTCCTCCAAGCCTAACTCCTCGAATCGCATCGACCCTTGCCATTTATCCCCAAAGCCCGACACTCATCTACAGAGGCTTGGCGTTCGACCTTGCCATTTATCCCCAAGGCCTTGAATTGTGCATCGACCCTTGACATTTATCTCCAAGGCATCGACGGCTACTCAACGTATTGGTCTTTCACCGCCACCACATCAAAACCCAATACTAATTCAACAAAATTAGAATCACCGTGCCGACCCTCAACCCTTTGCACCCAGAGCCTCGACACTCATCTCTACCAAGTTGGGGTATCGATCCCCGACCTTTGCACCTGGAGCCTCGATACTCAACTAGTGGCGTGCCAGCCTTTTTTGCACTGTTAGTTCTCCATTTACTTTGTTACATCCTAGAACTCTCACCAGAGACCTACATGCTTTTCAGCCATGACCCATGCAGAAATTATCTCTCAACAATGGAACATGCGTTATACGCAAAACCTATGTCACTATCATCTAGACATGGCCATCCAACATCACGAGGACACCCTTCTCTCAACCCTCAGCATGCTTTATATACCACAGTGCAGATAATTTACAAAAGAGACGTAGCCGACATATATCCCTAAACGTATCCAACACTCTAAAATTTCATAGTAATCAGAACACAACATAACTAATTCACTTCATTAAGGACCAAACTCTCACCAGAGTCCTACTACCTACTTTCTAGGCCATGACCCATGTAGCACTCAACTTACAATAAAACCAGCATGCTTCCCGAACCAAAAACAGTAAGCTAAAAATTGAAATGACATGTCCAACATGCATGGCAACACAACAGATTTCTCCCACATTATTTCAGTATGCTTTTATGAACACAACCATACAATTATAAAATCATTCATAACCCATAATGCTTTCAGAAATACCACTAAGCATCAAATCCAACAACGCAACACAAATCAGTTAGAAACAACCAGCTCCAACATGATTTCATTCAAACTACTTATAATCTCTAGCCAATACTCACAAGACACAATCAACTTACATAATAATAAATAATGAACACACCGAAAGCATCAAACAATTCATACATATTCAAACAACAAATATCCCCCAAGTAAGAACTACTTACACAAAGTTCTAATGCGCCACTAAGCTCGCAAAAGGGTTCCTAAATCCAAAAGCAACCAAACTTGGGTTAGGGTTACTTTTAGAAATACTTAATTTGCGACGAAACTAAGTTTGAGTGATTCATTACCTACAAACCCACACCGAATCACTTGGGTTAGGAGTGGGTCACTTCCGAACAGGTTCCACACCACAGAAATGATGCCGAATCGGTTCAAGCTTGCTGGTCCAATGCCGGGATGGGGTGGGTAACACTAGTTTGGGTCCTAATAGGGGTGGGTTGACACCGAACGTCATCGGAACGAATGAAACATCATGAAACTCACTCTCCGACGCAGATTTGAACTATTTGGATTCGTCGGAGCGCTGCATCGCTGGTTGTCCCCGGAGAGGAAGTGCACT